TGTTCTCATCATGATTCCTGACTTCTTGGTTTCTGGCTTTGGGGGGGGAGATGGCAAGGGCAAATCATCTTACCCGATAACTTTGTAGTTGAATCCTTTAAAGTGATCCCTGTATTTGCAGGAGCCCCTGTGGTGTTGTCAGTACTAGGAAGTGGTTCACTCGAATCCAGGGGAGGAGGTGAAGGACTTTTGTGGGATGTCTTTGTAGGACCTATTATAGGGTAGACATTAGGGAAAAGCACAGGCACCAAACTAGACAGGGGGACACGTATGCCCCCAAGCGCCACTGTCTTCTCTTCTGTGACTCATTAACACAAGCGAGGCCGCATTTCATCTGCTCATTCTCAGTGCATCAACACACAATTTCAATTACTTAGGCTTTTGTACAACCCTCCCCCCATGCACGTAAATAGATAAAGACATATAGTCGAACACAGACATCCAGACCAAGATCCAGAATAGCGTACCGCCCCAAATGTCTGTGTATGCGTGGGGATTACTTTGCCTCATTCCATCCCAAGCCATCCCAACCCAACCCTTTTCAGGCCAGCCCTCAGCACTCACTTGGGCGTCCTGAGAAGGGGCCGTGGCAGGATCAGTCAGTGGTAGTGTTGGCAAGAGGAGAGAGTGGCAGAATCAGTATGATTGTGACCCCAATCCCTCACCTGGCACTGCTCTGGCCCTGACAATGAGCCCCAATCCCTGACTAGGATCATTTATCCCTGAACCTGGATCTCTAAATCCTGGCATTTAGCCTTAAACTCTTTTCTTGAGCCATGACCCCTGGATCTGGGTCCTGGCCCCTGGGATTTAGCACCCAGGGCACTTGCCTTCTGGCCAAAGCTCAGGTGTGTGCTCTCTCTGTCTCTGTCTCTTTTCCTCCCCTCCAGCTCTTCTAGAAAGACTTGGATTCCCAGAATCTATCCAAACACTGAGGATTCTCAGCCTTCTTTGGGTGCTTATGTCCTTCCTGTACAAGGGAAGCCTCCATCTGGTGGGGATGGAGGGGTGGGCTGGTTATAGCATACACTCTCCCCCATCTCCTAGGAAGTCCCAGAGAAATGTTCTGAGCCAAGTCAGGGACCCTAGGCCTGATTTGACTCAGCTAGGACAAAGCTTGATCTTCTGGCTGCAGGGAAAGAGTACCAAGCACCCTCAACTTCCCATTGACCCTATAAGGCTAGCTCAGGTCTCCTTCCTGTATGGTGTTGACCTCAAGGACCCCTAAACCCCCACTAAACAGATACCTTTAAAAAGGAAGCTCCCCATCAGTGGAGGTAGCAGCAGGGAGAAGATTAGGAACATCAGGAAGGGGCTGAGCAGGGTGGGCTTCATGGTGGTATTGAGAGTGGGTGGGAGAGGCCAGTCTGGGGCTGGGATTATACCTGGGGGTGGGGACTGGTGGCCTCTGGGAGGGGCTGAGCTCAGCTTCCTCCAGACTTCGCCTCACAGGTCCAGATCTAAAAAGCATCCTGGTGCCCTCAGGGAAGTGCTTTGGGCCGGACAGCTTGTGCCTGGGCACCCAGCCGTGAAGAACCTTTAGCTAGCCTGCTCCCTGCTGGTGGTGAGCATCTCTGCACTCCCTCAGGCTTGAGAGGTTCCTGATGGTTCTAGGATCAGATATCTCACTTGGACTTATCAAGAAACCCTCCTTAGTTGTCCAAAGATCAACTCAGGTGTGTGGGGGCAGGTCTACATGGGTACAACACATCCGCCATCAGAGCCACAGACATTGCCTTAGAGCCAGGGCCCTAAAGGGAATCGGGAATGGGTGGAGAGAAGAGTGTTGCCTGAAGGGGATGTGTCATTAACAGAGGAGAGAACTTGGGAATTGTTCCCAGAGGAGATGGTATCAGAGAACCTGGGGTTGGAGTCATTATGTTCATCCTTTTGCCTCCAGATAGGATCTTTTCTTTTTTTTTTTTTAATGAATTAAGCAAACTTTTATTGAAGCATTAAGTTTTGTGGTACAGATTTTAAAAATACATTTTAACTGATTAAAGTCCAACACCATGAAGACAGAAATTATGACACCAAAACTTCCCCTCTTCTAATCATACTAGATTAATTTAGATTAATATCCATTCAACAGTTTTCACTTTTCTATCAGAGCCTTATGTTTTCATACTCATATAAATTTGTGCATTTTTCAGTTAGGAAGGGATCTTCAGTACATATCTTTTAAAAAAAATCAGACTTCAAGCCAACAAATATCATCAAATCTCTTGGGACACTGTTCAAGAACAAGTTCAAAGACTTGAATTATTAGTCCTCAAAAATATCAAGCACCAAAAAGTATCACCAAAAAGTAAATGCCACATTACTTACAGATTACAGAATCAAATTGACTGAGTTGGTAGAATGCTTCTTCAATGAAGCCTTTAGTCAATAACATGCTTAAAATCAAAATCAAAACAGTGCTCCAACCACCTGATTACTAACCAAGCAGATTTTTTTAAAGTTTAGAAACACTAAAGAAAAGTATTTCATTTATAAATAAGGAAGGAACAAAACAGCACTGCATCAATCCAGAAAGAGTCAAAAAAAATTGGGAGGACAAGAGGGAAATATCAAATTTAAGTTAATTTTGCTGGTCTCACAGCTTCTAAAATCCCACAGTTATTTGCTGAAAATGCCAGCTCTTGAAAGCCTGCATCTACTAGTCATCCATTAAATGACTATTTTTGAACTTGCCTTGTTTTTTATGAATAGCATTTTACTTCACTGTCTGTCCAGATAACCTGGACAGTTCTCATTTTGTGCAGTCATTCACTTACTGCCATCAAATCATGGTTAAAGGAATCACCACATTAATTAAGAGAAACAACAGATGAAGTCACAACACTATCAAATACAGCATAATAGTCTTATGGACCACAATATCACAAGACTTTCAGTCACAAGATAAAAAAGCATATTGATTCTGCTTAGAACAACAAAATTAGGTTAACAGTATATTGTTTACTCACAATTAGGTTGAAATGGCTGCTAAGAAAAAAGTCATGGTGAATGGTCCAAGCTGACTGGCATATCTAGTCTGGTAAATTGACAGGATCTTTTCTAAAGGAGCATAGCCAGATGGACATCTCACTATTATCCATAGGGGAAAATCATGAAAAATTGGGTTTGACTATAGAAGTAATATTAACTGCAGTAATTTATGTGAATTGTTTATCATGTATGCTTAGTTTCCAAGCATTACAGTAATAATTATGCATAATATTGAACTTTTCAGATTAATAACAACAACAAAAAGTTTTGAAATGTTCTGAGAAAGGGATTCTTCCACTAGCTTGGTGATGTGGTTCTCTGTTCCATAACTCTTAGAGAAGGATATACTTCTGAATACCTAGAGTTGGGAACTAAGCAGGGCCGGCATACTCCCCATCTCCCTCCCTTCCTCCCATGATTCCAGGACATAGTGTACTGTTTCCAATATTTCCATATCATAAATGGAAGACAACGTTTGGAGGCTTCATCACACCTGTGGCTTCATTTCCAATGGTACAGATTGCAGTCCATCTTGCCTTCTCATCTTGGCTGACTTTTGTTCATGTCTTCCAAAGGAGGTCCACCAAAGTTGCTTTTCTGTAATTGTCTTGACATTACATTGGAGCAAATGGGTGACTATTTGATTATCTCTCCAAATCCTGAGGAAACAATGGAGGTCCCTATTTCACAGATATAATTCACTATCATTCTACATGGATTTCCTTGCCATTCCCAATGAAATCCCCCCATTCTAGATAGAACTTCCCAGCATTTTAGATGAAACTTTATCATTCTGAGTGGAGCTCCCCCACATTCTAGGTAAACTAAGAATAATATCTGGCACATGTATAGTGTACTAAGGCTTGCAAATCACTTTACATGTATTATCTTATGTGATCATTATATCAGTCCTATGGGGTAGATTCTACAGGCATGAGTATCCTCATTTCACAAATGAAGAAACTAAGGCTAAGAGGAATTAAGTGACTTCTCCATACTAAGTGTTGGGGTAGGATCTGAATCCAGGATTTCTTGTCTCCCATTTCAGTGATCTTTCTATTAAGCCATGCTACTTCCCTATCAATCCAGATGACACTTTCCCACATTCTATATGGAATTTAGAACCCTGGAGAATGGAATCCTTCTGTGGATTCACATCTTCTCTTTCCCAGTTCCAGGGGGGATTCTGGACCAGGAAAACAAGGATCAAAGGGACCAGAACAAGAGCACATGGAGAATCAGCTAGCATCTTCCTCATGGAAGTCAAAGGTAGAAGAGGAGAGAAGGAATTGGGTACCTAGAAGTTTCTATTCAAAAACAGAGGTTTAGGTCTACAGGTTCCATGGGGGTGCCTGATTGAAAAGGGATGGAGGAAACAATAAATCTTCCTGAGATGTCTCATTCATACACATACACAGATGTATACATATATACGTATATGTGTATATGTGCATAGTACATATATCTAAAAATAAAACATCTTTGCCTATACTTGATTTTCCCTCTCCTATTCCTGCCTCCAGAAGATGCGGGGCAAGGAGGATGTTTGGGGGTTTTGATGTGTAGAAGCTGCTAACAAGAATTGTGAGAATAAGTTATGTTGTTGCCTACTTTATCTGTTTGCTTTCTATGGCAGCCTGGACACCCTATCCCCTTCACCATTATGTAGACTCAGTATAGGCATTATTTGGGCAACCTAGCCTAGGCCAGGTGCAGTTCCCAACAGAGGCAGTGTGATAAAATGGAAAGAGGACTACTTTGGAGGTTGGATGAGATCCACCTTGAGTAAATAACTTTTTGAGTGTCGGTTTCTTCCTCTATAAAATAAGGCCTTGGACTAGATGGCTTCTGGAAAACTACAAAGATTCTAGCTCTGACATTCTATGAGCCATGAACTGTCCCTGCCTTCACCATTTACAGGGTGTTCCTACCCAGGCAGTTCCTGTCCTGCCAGGAATTGGTCTTAGCCTGCTTATTGAACTCAAGGCCAGAAGTGACCCAAGGAGAAGAGGTCTTTGATATGGGAGGAAGATGGCCTAGGATGAGTCTGAAGTGGGTGTGCTATTGGTGGAGGACATGGGAGAATCCCTGTAGCCAGGGCCTCTGGGATGAGTAGGGGTTGGAAAGGAACCAGTCTTCTGAGTTTCCATCCTGTTCTAGAGAAGGGACTCCCTGGGGACAAGATTCTGGTTGCATCCATTGAAACTCTTGTGAGCTCCTGCCCTGGGATGTCTCGAGGATAGAGCGGACGTGGGATTCAGCTCCCCTCAATTTTACAGAGGGAGTCACTGAGTCCCAGAGGGTCTAAGTGATTTGTCCAAAGGTAATAAATAGGTCACATGGGTAATAAATAGCAGGCCTGAGATTCAAACTCAGGTAATAATTGTAAGCTAGGATTTTTTATTTTTCATGATGGAATATAAATTCTTTGAGGTTAAGGACTGTTTTAATTTTTGTTTTTGCGTCCCTAGCACCTAGCCCAGTGTCTGGAACTTGGTGGGCATTTAATAATGCTTTTTGATTGATTGATTGAAAAAGAGTTGAATAGAGAGTGGTTTGAATAGAGAATAGTTTTAATTGGAGCATCAAGGAGGGCACAGGGAATGGTAGCACAGAGTACAGTGTTACCAAAGATGCAGTTGCGCTGGGAAGTCACTTGCCCAAGGTCACATGGCTAGTAAGTAGAAAAACCAGGACTAGAAACCAGGCTCCTGGCTCCCACACATCCCTCAGAGAGTCTATAGCAAAGGCCATTAAGGTGAGGAACGGGCACAGTGCTTGCTATGGGAAAGAAGCACACCGTCAATATTTTATTGCCCTGTGGCAAAGCTCTATTTGTTCCCTCTAGTTAAGGCTCTGACGCATGTCTTCTACTCCAAATTCAAGGCTCTAATCCAACTTTGCAAATGTTGTGGATACAAACTGGGCAGACTCTGGTGAAGTTTGGAAGTTATGGTAGAAGAGGAGGGGCGAAGTTGTGAGAGTAAAGAAGGGAGTGCCCCTCTAGAGTTGTCCTACCTTTCTTCGTTCTGGCCAGAGAGCTGGTTCTCAGGCTTATGGACTGATAGACTGTTAGTTAGAAGGGAGTTTAGAGATCATTTTGGGATCCTTTTTGAGAACCTAGCTGGTGCCTTGAGAGAGACAAAAAGAGGTATCTGGTCAATGACAAACAGAGGATGACTCAATGCCCAGCTCCCCTGCCTCATTTGCTTGAAAGTTTCACTCTTTTTTACATTTCTAGAAAATGGTAGATGTTGCTTCCTTGACCTCTGATAATAAGATTAGATATGATTCTCTGGTAATGAGCCCAGAATTATGGCCGAGATTCACCTAAGTTGGTTTTGTTGTGTCCTCAAGGATTTTTCCCT